ATGGCAGTAACGTCATTCTCAACACATGCTATTAATGTTCTACTCCAGCAGAATTACATTTTTTCTAACCTGGTTGGGATCAGTAAGTCATCACGCAATAACCCATTTTCTCGGTAATTATATGTGTTTTGGTTTCACATTTACAGTGGGATTAACAGACGTTTATTTGAGTATATACGTATCCATTTTACACCCCAAAAAAAATAATAAACGCCTCCCTCGAATAAATAATGTATTTATAGTTCTCTATTTTATGTTCAGAAGGCATGCCTTACTGTAATGCTGTAAAGTGGTGACATTCTGTCATGCTACACCACTTGTTTCATCCATGCATTCTTTCTTTCATTCCTTTAGCCAAACATTTATTATTGATAATGAGAGAACAAGATTTCCTTTCATTCCTTTAGCCAAACATTTATTATTGATAATGAGAGAACAAGATTTCCTTTCATTCCTTTAGCCAAACATTTATTATTGACAATGAGAGAACAAGATTTTACAATGTATTTAAGATATTAATCCATCAATCTGGGACCCTCAAAAAGCATGGTACAAATGGTTTAAAAACTTCCTTTCTTAAAATGACTGGGGTAAAACTGCTTCTAGATCCTGAACCATTGGTGACCTTCATAATATTCCAAATTCTCTCAGACAGTCCATGAGTTGGATTTTTAGATTTTCTGAATTCCTGATATTACTATTAATAAGTCATATTATGATCATCAGTATCAGCACAGGAGGCCCATATTCATATCCAAAAATCCCTTTGCTATCCTACCCATGACTCTTGTTCCTTTTAAAATGCATTCCAAAGCACTCTTTACTCGCACTTCAGCTGAATGTGTATAAGAGACAGTATATATATATATATATATATATAATTGTACTGATATAACTTTATTTTTCTGCCTTCTTGAAACAAGATTCAATGTTCAAGAAAATGGAGCAACACCAGCAACATTTGTTCTTAGTATAATATAATTGTTCTATATAAGTTAGATAGCACCATTTGAGTTCTTCATTGTATTCTCATTTCTGAGAACATTTCTGCAACATCAAACTCTTCGCTACTCAATTTCTTCACTTTACTCTGAAGCAAGCGAACTGCTGGCGGTAAGTGCTCTTTTTGCGTCTCCTTCCATATGTCTTCGTCTGTGTTACACGATGCGTAAACAACACAGTTCACCTCCCCTTCTATAGGTTTCATGATCACGACGGGGAAGACTTCTTTAATTTTGACTAATGATGATGCTTTCAAGTTATCTTCTCGACAGCCGAAAACTAATGCAAACAGACCTGTTAGAAGGGAAAATATATGTATTTTTAAAAATTTGACCTGTGTTGAAATTTAATAAACAGCTGCCAGATTTTGAAATGCTATGACATAGAAATATGGCTATACTTTTACTAATATTCTTGAAGTACATATTATGTAACCCAATTACCTTTTGGTTTCAACAAAGATTGAACTTTCAATAGAAGAGTTTTTTCGAGAAATTCCTTAGGTGGACACGTCATACCAACGCCTGTATCTTTACTGTCCACGTCAAAGCAGATAACATCGTATAAATTACCACCTGAAAATTAATTTGAATATACAGGGTATGTACTGTATATCGTCGCTCACATCACAAACTAACACAATCAAAGTAGATTGTGTTAGTTCGTGAAATCACAGTAGCGCGTCAAAACGAGCGCGTATTGGTTGTCAAGCAATTTTGTATTCTTTACCACACAAAAAGTCCTTAACGACAACAGCGCGTATTTTGATAGGCTTTTTTGATTTCACAAACTAACACAATTGAATTTACTTGTGTTAGTTCGTGATGTGAGCGACGATATTTGTGTTCTTTTCTGTAGTTTGAAAATATAAGCAATATATTCAATTTAAGAAACAACTATCAGTGAAGTATAATTTAGGATCCCAATTAAAATTCCAATCCAAGAATAATAATTTTTTTTTGTTGCTTTACCTACCAAGTTATGGAATGGGGTATAATGCCTTGGACTTCCCTATTGTTTAAGGAAAAATTTTATTCTCAATAAAATAATATCTAGAAATTGGTTCATTCATTCAAACATAGTGGGAATCAAACCCTTTAAAATTACCACTTACCCATGTCTGACCTGTCCTCAATGAACTTAATACCGTCCCCTTCAAGCAGTTTCAGTCGTTTATCAGGGGCCACACCAAAATTTTCTTTGGCAACTTTGATAATTGTAGGGTCCAATTCTACCACATCTAAATCCACCTAAAATAGAATAATTATGAATTTTAATGGGGAGCTCATAAACTATTTACAAACCTTTTTACTTGATTGGCGAGTCCATCAATCAATCGACCAATTGATCAATTGATGTTGATTAATTTATCTATACAAAGCCTAGATAACTTACTGTTTGGAACATCGAATGCAAAATTACTGGTAGGCTTCCACCTCCTAAACCAATCAGGAGAAATTTCCAAGCTGATTCTATGAATATAAAGGAACTTCCATTAGCATGTTCAAAATACAAATACAAAAATCTTGTATTCATTAAAATTTTAAATGGCACAAAAAAGTACAGTAAAAAACAGATGCATAACATAATTAAAATTAAAAGGAGAATATAAAAATCACTTAAATTCACTACAACCTATGTGATTTGTCCATATATGGTGTGATATGACATTACTATCGTCATATGGGTAAACCACACTAAATTGTGAACAGAGTATAACAGTTAGGGGTTATTCACAATTATCAACATTTTGTACACATTTGCATGCATGAAAATGTTAATTCAAAATAACATGTAATATTTAAAATAATAGATTTTCATGACCATGGTACAGTACTTTATTTAAAGAATAATTTTGCAAAATCAACATTTTTCATGTACACTTTCATACGGGAAGGAGGGAGGTAGTACTAAAAAAGAGTACTGTTTGTAGACTTGCGAAAATGTTGATAATTATGAACAACCCCTTAATACATGTGTGAACAGACTATAATAAGTTGATATGTGTGTGAACAGAGTATACTAAGTTGATACATATGTGAACAGAGTATAAAAGTTGATACATGTGTGAACAGAGTATAAACATTAATACATGTGTGAACAGAGTATAACAGTTAATACATGTGTGAAAAGAATATAAAAGTTAAAACGTGTGTGAACAGAGTATAAAAGGTAGTACATGTGTGAAGAGAGTATAAAAGTTGATACGTACGTATTAGTCGATCAAAGTTCGGAATCAAAGCTAGGCCAGCAATTATTGCTTTGTGGTTTTCAAAGCTAACGTAGTTCCTATCAACAACTAGTTTAGATGTTCTTTTGCCACCCTTTCCTCTGACTGAAACTATAAAACACAACATTCAAAGTTTATTTTAATTCACAAATAAATTTTTACTGTGTACTTGTAATCCTATTCACACATAAAATAAAAATGTTCTTTCTTAAACCAAGTTAAAAAAAAAACGTAACTGTACATGTATAGAGCATTAGATACTGTGCTACTATAAATGCATCACCCTATTTACCTGTCTTCAGTTTAGATTCTGATTGGATGTGATGTTGTGTCTTCATGAATATGAGTCGTCTGACAGGATTTTCCCCCTGCACTTGCACATCTTCCACAACAAAGTCTCCGCTCAGTTCACTGGTGCCACTCTGTACTATCGTTCTCTTCCCGATGTCATTCCCGATGGATAGGAATGGTACCTCGAATGATAAAAAGTTAAAGATATTTATATTAGGCCTGTTTAAGGAGCTCATTACTGCATATTTATTAGTTTTACATTATAGATGTTTATTCTGTTTTGAGTGCAACAGGTTTTAATTATCATAAGCATAAAAGCCAACTCAGACAGCATTGTAAACGCAGCCTGACATGATTTATTGTCAGGAGCAGTCTTCAGGTGGTTGTGAGAATATTAAACATGTTTACTATTTTATGGCGCAACTATCACTGATGCAGACCTATCACATCAGTGTGTAACTCACACAGACATGGTAGGTGCATTCTAACAGTGAGGAGATTTCTTTTCGATGAAACATAACTTGTAGTAGAGTGGTTCATGACACCAAGTGTACTTTACCTTGGTGTTTCCAGGCAGATCAGCAGGTGAGAGTTCCATTATATTACCCGATAGCTCATCTTGGATAGACTGCAAACTATCATATTGGTTGTCTCGATGCAGCAAAACAACAACTAAACGTTTGAATCCGGCAGATTCAGCAAGTTGAAGACGTCCCTTTGGGTTACTGAACAGCCACTCAACCTCCCTGAGAATGTAAAAAAAAAATCCATGCTGTTCTCTCTGTTTATAAAAAAGCATCACTTCTATCTCATATTTAGCAAGGTACCTGCTGTTGGATTAAAATTAACTAAATAATAACGTACAAATATTCCAATGTATGTGAAGAGAATTTCTACTGACCTTCCTTGTGGAACAATGAAGACAGCAAAATGGTTACTAGGGGCAACCACACTTTTTCTATCCACAACATAGAGAGTGAAACGTGGAGTTGTTGGTTTATTTGCATTAAATAATTGGAAAGACAACTGTTCTTCATCCACAGACCTGAGAGAAAAATATAATATCACACAGGGCATATACACAAAGAGAATTGCTTGGCACACTCAGCAGATAATGTATACCAATTCAGGCTTTTGAATGTTTGACATTGGTATACTCCATGAGTTGTCTAGTTGGACCGTCAAGAATTTGACAATGCAAACTTATAAAACTTAAATTTATTAATTAATAATTCTAATATCTTTAATAAAGCATAGGTTTTCAAGATATTTTAAGCAACTTTGAAATCTCTATAGTCTAGTAATTTTAGTAGAGTACATTTTGACCTAGAGTATACTTATTCAAGCAGAACAAGCCTGCATACAAGACAAGATGGGGTGGGGGATTTGGGGTAATAAACTTTTTTTCTTCTCACCTTGTTTGTAGTGAGTGGCTGAGCACATGATAATCTTGTTGCGCTTTGATAGCAGCTACCACAGCCTCAGCTGATTCCAAACGTAGATTACTAGAATTCTTGGTGAAGAAGACATCTAATGGAAGTGGAGCCTGATGGTAAATATAATAACTAACATGTTAAAGACAATGTATTACTGCATAGAAGGTAGGTAGTCACATAATACCAAATGTAGCACATCAGTAGTCTTGGACTTCCTAATTAATGGTTGTGATTTAAAGTACAATACAATGCTTTTCACATTCATTGGTCTAAAGACACTTCTACATTTCTCTCTTCTCAGGAATATGAAAGATATATATAAGGTATGAATGACTTTGACATATCACAGGATTACAACTACAATATACTGTATGGTACTTGGCTTTTGCAGTATACAGTCTGTATTCACAGTGGTGGATCCAGGAATTTAAAATAGAGGGGACCCAGGGAAAAGACTTTTACAGATGGAGGGTCTATACCACCCAAACCCCACTGTGGTTGGGGCTGAGCTAAGAAAATTTACGATTATGGCACCTCCAGATGCCTGGAAAAAAGGCACTCTCAGACTTAAAATCTGAATATAATTTTCTTTTTATCTCCATTTTAAAAAAAAATTTCAAATAATTTAAGGGTAGGCTGGCTGGGGCCCCTTCCCTTTAGATTAGCCACTGATTTAAATACCAGAGGTAATAAAGGATTTAACACTAAACCAGTCTATTATGGTTCCCTTGATTAGTGATATATTTATTCAATTTTCATTTACCTTGCTTGCCATGATTGGTTTGAATTTAGTGCACACAAAAACAAAGACAGGGAGAGCAAAGTCAGATTTCTTCTCGGAACCACTCTCTCTGATCACTTTGTGTACACGCACCAGCCAAAATCTAAGTAGTAAATAGGGAAAACAATTATGTTATGGAGGTGATAATACAATTTTTTAAATAGAGTACACTCTTTTATACAATTTATTTTCAAAAAGAATATGTAAATTCTATGGAAACAGATATCTTGTCCTGTCTTTGGCCTCTTATTATCTGAAATATCTGAAAATACTATGTTGATACTCACTTGCTAGTAAACCATGTGACTAGTTCCTTTGCTATATGTTGCTGTGCCAGTGAAATGCATATGTAGCGCCCTCCATACTTCACCACACGATCAATCTCAGAAAACATGTATTGGACACTCTTTACAGTGGCAGGCTCTGAATCGGACATTATGGCGTCTAGCGTTCCTTTATCCATTACTACATTGAAATGTTCGTTTTCAAACGTCATCTGTAAAAATAAAATAAGCTTGGAACTTCTTATTTATTCCACATGCATTTATTCTGCTTATGTTATTTGTCTTACAAAGCCCTGAAAATAAGTCCCGGGACAATCAATCCATCTGAATTTTAAAGAATTATTTCCAGTGGGGTCGTTCTAGTGGTGATTGGGCAGTACACCAGGAGACAATCTCCTACTCTAAAGAATGTACTGAATTTTTTAACGTGCACATGAGCCATAATGCACACAAGATCAACGACTTGAACATCTCAATCCAAAGACAGTGCGCATGATTTTTATACTTGTATTTCAGCCCACCAAATGAAACGCAAGAGCAGCCAATGGAATTTAACCAGGTACCAACAAATTCCCATGGTTCAGCACACATGTAGTGGCTACCACCAGTTAGCCGACTGCTCTCTTTTTTTATTATAAACCAAAAATATTCCATAACTACGATACAATAAGCATGTGATGTCATCTCCTGTCTACCTTCTGTACATCCATCTCAATGAACTTCATCTCTGGTCTTTTCTCTGCATTCTTTGTCGTCATGTGTTTGATAACTACCGCACTAATATCAATATTCACCAGCTGGTGGTAGCCAACATCGTACAGGTCCTCGCTAAGCACTGAGTTTCCACATCCTACCATAAGGACATCATCAGTGCATTTACTGTACTTGTGCAGAATTCCACACAAATCTCCATATTCACCATACCTTCAATAAACAAAAATTTAAAATGTAAATAAAACATATCAATATTTTAAAATTTAAAAAGATGACCACAAAATAACAATATCATAACAACATTCTGTGGCTTTTCCTAGCCTAGTTCTTTGCCACACAAATTTTTCAGATGGTTGTCAGACCTTAATTCTTCCAAAATTGAAGACGTGATCCTCCTCATATTACTCCATGACGAGTTTATGTACCCAGCGGTGAATGACTAAAGTGCTGGGGGAAAATGAAATATATGTGCAAAAACTATAGGAAATTGGGATAGAAAATACAGTCAGTACAAAAACAATGGGAAAAGCACACAAAATAATAGCAGAAAAATCTAAAACAACATAAGAATATTTTTTAAGTCCATCAATCTGTCATTCAGCCAATCAATACTTGCCACTCAAATGCAGCTCCACCACGCTTCTTGAAGAACTTGTCCCAATAATCTACAGACTGAAACTCACTACTGCTTTTCGGTAGCAAATCCATCAGAGAAATTTGTCATCTATTCATGGTATGAAGAGAAAATGTTATTTTTTTGATAGCCTAGATAGTAGTAGTATAGCCTATATAGGTCTATATGGTAACATAATTAGATGCTTGAACTAAAACAATTGATAATATTCATATATTATATTATTAAATAAACTTGATCCTTGTTCCTCATATTTCAGTGCAAAGTATTAAACCCAACCCACCCCATCCCCTTTTTGAAATGCCTACCTATCTCTTCCTAGATAGAGGCCAACATGAAGTTTACTAACACTATTTTGGGCAACTGGAAACATTTGTTAGGATACGTCATTGAGCAATTGAAAGAGTGATTCACGTTCACAAATGAATAGTAACTCACCCAGTAAAAAGCAAACATAAAAGGAATTTACTATTTAGCAGATATTGTGCTTTAAAACACTCATCAACAAATACATGTGCATCAATCAGTGATCACTGTTGTTGTCACTTAGTTGTTTATTTCCAGGCACTATTCTATTTTTTCAAACAGCTGTATTTTGGAGACTAAATACGACCTATGCTCTTTGAACTGCTACAGCAGCACACTTCAATGAATGCAGTTGTCTTTCCAATATAACACATCACAGGAAATTGATCTGTAATATAAATTAAATCTACACTGAAGATCGACATAACTATTGTAATTATTGATAAGATAAATAGTAAGTTTGGTGTATATGCCTTCAATCAATGGGGGCTGAAGGAAGTGTATTAAAAGGCTGCAAATTAGACGATCCTCTAGAATCGCCTGCTCACTCACGTCAACAGGACTGGGTCATACACCCAGCCCGTCGAGATGATGGTTCGCAGGTATCCGTGTTCGTTCACAAAGGGGACAAGAAATCTCAGGACACTAGGCTACAAAATGCTGCTAAGGTAAGGTTTTTTGCCTTAATATTATTATTTTATTTGAGCAAATAATTTTGGTTGTTGAAATTGGTATCAAACCCAAATTTATATATTATATATATTATATATGAGCATCAAATCAATAGAATAAAAATAGCCTAAAGGCCTAGGATAGGTAGGCCTAGCCTATTTATTATTATCAGTGTTTAAGCTGTCATTAGCCAAATCATAATATAAAGCTGAATTTGGCTAAATATTTTCATTCCAAATTAGCCAAATAGCTAATGGAATTAAGCTGTAATTCCTTTTATTCTCTTGTTTCGGCTAATGCAAATTTCTCTTTGCTTTGGCTAATTATTTTCATACTGAATTTGCCAAATTGCTAAATATTGTTTTTTTGCCAGCTTAAACCCTGATTATGACATTAAAAATACAATTATTTATTACTGTAACTAGGCCTAGGCCTAAGTGTAGACTAATATTTAATTAATTATAATATCAAATAATAAAGAAGGTCTAGGGCCTAGCTAGTTAGGCTTTCTTCAAGCTGCCTAGGTCTAGGCTGTATTATTGAATAATAAATAAATTTGTCATGGCTAGAGATACGGTACCATATATCTACTTCAATTTGCTAAAGGTACGGCAAATGGCATTACATCACCATCACCCAATGAAGGGCCAGAATGTGTGTGACGTCATCTTTCAAGACCGGCATTGCAGATCGCCCACAGTGCACAGTGTGAGGTGAGCGGTGTGACTTGCGAATAAGTACTACTAGTATAACCATACCCTATTTATCGATGACAGTTACTAAGTACAGTATTTTGTACTTTTTAATGTTCTAATTTACCCAGTACATCATTTCGCATTTCACCGCTCATCGTGGGTGATCTGCAATGCCAGTCTTGAATGATGACGTCACACACCTTCTGGCTCATCATTGGGTGATGGTGACATTTATGCCATTTACCTTACCTTTTGCAAATTGAAGTAGAAATACGGTACCGTATCTCTAGCCACAGCGAAACAAATTACTAGGCCTTCTACAGTAGATCTGTCAGGGTACTACTACTAGGCCCTAGCTAGCTCAGTTAGGTACTGTATAGGTTAGTTAATTTTTATTTAACAATAGATGTTAAATATAACCTAATATTTAAATAACTATGACAGGCTAGTTACTATATAATGTATTCCTCATCTTGTTCAATGTCAACTAGGTCTTCATTACCTCAATATCTCTAATCATATATTTATTTGTTATTGGGTATAAAATACTCAAAATGCAAGAAAGATTGAAATACTTTTGAGTTTACATTATGAACAAATATAAAAAATATATAAAACAAAACATCAAACACCACATTATAAACACCAACTTTAGGCCTATCTATTCAATGATCATACAAGTAATTTGGATTCTAAAATGGATATAGTCTATATACATTAATAATTATTTTTTTTTAATTAGATTATTAATGAAATATATACAAGTCTGATAATTATAAATTATTACTTATACATATTATATTTTTGATCATTCTTAGCACTCTTTTTCACATCTTAAATTTGTCACCATCTTCAATATTCTTTTCTTATATTTGTACCATTTTAGCAACTCAAGGTGTTGCGGCATCCAACAATTTTAAAATTCTTTGCATCGTGTAATAATGTGGAAGGCACATACTTAATCACTGAGCAAGTCAAACCATTAGACTTAGTGCTAGAAAATCTCAGCTCAGAAGAGATATGTGTTGGAATGTTCAATGTCATCGAGGCACTAAGTTTTCTGCATACCAGGGTAAGTTTCATGTAAAGGTTACGTAACAAAGTTTTGTCATACTTAGCTAATAAAAATTAATTTAAATGGTTACTTTGTATATAAGTAATTATTCTTAACATTTAAAAGTTTGTATGTTTTCGGAAACTGAATTTTCCACTTTTTTCTTTGATAAGTATATTGATCCTTTTGAATAAGTAATTCAATAAATTTTTATTTTGTTTACTATGAGATAGTATCTTTAATTAGATTTAACACATTCTTCAGTTACAACTATCATCAGCATTTCAGTTAGTTTGTCTTTACAGTTAGACAAATGAATTCAAGAAAACAATAATTAAGATTGCCTCATGTAAGCAGACTGACAAAAGCAAATCACTTTATTAAAGCATCTCTCAGTAGCATTAACCAGCTGTCCAAAATATCTTGGAGGCCCTTCCTTGTTAATCTTAAAAAGCTCATAAAAATCAGTTATGTGGGTGTCCTTTAAACTAATTGATGGTGATTTACATTTCATTTTCAATTATTTAGTGTTTTTAAAAATCATTCTAATATACATACATACAAATCCAGTTATTGTCTATTATTCCATCACGACAATAACAATTATACATACTGTTTAAATTCTTTTGTAATGCAAAATGGTTGCTTACTTGCAAGTACTGTATAAAAATGAAGTACTATAAAATCCCCATCCTCTACAGTACCACCAGCAACATGCAATACCTATTATTAATATGTTAATAGATTATTGCAGAAAAGTATAGAATATTGACTTTAGCTGAGGTAACTAACTTGCAATTGAGTCCAAAGATCAATACAATCACTGATTTACCTACTTTTATTTAAAGTTATACTTTTTACTTAAAGTTTATTACTAGTCAATTTAGAATATATATATACAATACACCGTATAATGTAAATAATAAGGAATAGTGTCATATTTGTGTCAATTGCCAGTGGAAATACTGTAGTTTCTTTTTCTAAATTTCAATTAAAAAAGTCAAAGCTTGACTTTAAAATTTATAAAAATAAGCAAAATTTTGGATTTAATTTTCAAAAATTTCTAATGGACAGAAATCCAGAGTCAGTATTAATCGTATAAATAATATTATTGCATCTTGCAACATACTGAAACCTTTGACCTTGTGCCATTGTTATCTATCATATGGATTCTTTCATTGTCAATTACTGTTGCTCTATTTTGGTTTGATATTTCAGGCATGTGAATATTGGTCTTTAACTTGGTCTTGTAGCTTTTCCTTATTTCATTTTGTAATTTTTTTTGTTATAGGGAGGTGTATCTCATAACAATGTGTGTACAGCATCTATTTATGTAAGTAGCCAAGATGGAGGCTGGAGGCTTGGTGGAATGGAACACCTATGCAAGTTTGAAGATGCAACAGTACAGGTAGCAAAACTGATAATAATTATTATTATTACTATTCTTTTAGTTAAGTTTATTTTCACTATTATTATTGTTATTATTATTATTATTATTATTATTATTATTATTATTATTATTAAAAGATAAATAAGAATAATAATATTAGTGATAAAATAATATTATTATTATATGGAATATCCTACTGTACATCAGTAAGCTTATTCTTATATTTTATTTTTAACTTTGTATTGATTTTCAGATTAATATTTTATTTGTATTTGTTGAGAACTTTTTAAAAATTTTTATACAACTAGTAATATGATTTCAATTAAATTATAATAGGTAATCTTTTATATTGTGATGAAAGCAACAAAAAGGAAATAAATTGCACACTTTTTTCCAATTAGTTTTTGAAGGACAGCAGGCCATTGCGCCACTCCGAGGCAATCCCACCAGAAGAAAATGAAGATGCCCTGACATCCAATGCCCCGTCAGTAGGCCATGCCAGAGATGCATATGCTTTTGGTATTTTAGCAGAACAACTTCTACAGTACTTGGAAGAACTAGGTAATTACACAATACAAATTTTACTTAAAACATGTTTGGCAACAATTTATCCAGTAGATTCAATAGCTAATATGCTTTTTTTTAGGTGTGGTTTTTTTTATTTGCCCTCCTTTTTTCACGGTTTTTATTGTTAACATTTTCACTCATATATACAATATACTGTACCGTTATTTATATAACATTAAAAGAAAAATTAATTGCATTTCATAAATATAGTTTTTTTTTAACGAGAAAATTGCACATTTCCCTTAATTTCATTACATTCACTATAGAAGGTAATACATATTTTTTATTCATTTATTTTTGTTTTTCTCCTTCTATTAATTTTTTATAACCTTAATTATCGTATGTTTTCTATAAGCATTCTGTTTATACATTCCACAATCTTTCATTTTCTTCATTCTATTTAAAACAAATTTTCACTATTCTCTTTTTTTTAAATTTTCTTTTTAGTTTATATTTGATAGCTAATACGCTTTGCTCTTTGTGATCAAGATTGTTTTATAAGGCCTGAGAACTAGAGTTGTGTTTTGAATTGCCTTTTATGTGCATTTTCTTATTTTATATTTATCTTTGAAACTTAGTTGCACTATTATAGCGAACAAAATGCCTATTAAATGTAATTAATTACATACTTGTCGTCTCTATTGTCTTTGCTAGGTGACATTACAAGTTCATTTGTGGAAAGACTCTCTGCTTTTATTGATCCAGAACCTAAAAACCGCCCTCAACTAAGGACATTATTACAAGATCATATATTTAGGTAAAGAAAGTTGTGTGGGATTGAGTTTTTTTTTTTTCCAATTATTATGTTTAGTTTTTGTTTATTATTATTATTGTTATGATTGTCGTTGTTACTACTACTATTACTAATAGAAAAGTTCATTGATTGATTGAATTTATTATTTCATACATACAAAGTTATACCTAAAAACAACCAAGACACTAATGCTAACACTAAAGACAACACAAAAAGGTAAAATAATTCTTTATATTCTTTGTGCTCTTTACAAATGAACAAGATTTACAAGTAACTAGACAAATTAAATATAAATATTGAGAAACATTTAAAACAAAATTTTATTTAAAAGGAAACATCAGTCATAAAACATTATGATTGAAATGCTAAAAATTCCAATTTAAAATCAATTGCATTTTTAAAATTGAATAAAAATTGATAAAACTGTAAAAATCTATTATTATTATTAATATTGAATTGACTTATTTTTATAGGAATGACTTTCTGGAGATTATTAACTTCTTGAACCACCTGACACTAAAATCAGAACAAGAAAAGGATATATTTTTTGAAGACCTAGCCCATCGTCTGCATAGACTGCCTGCTAAGTTGGTAGCCGTTAGACTAGCTCCTATGCTGTTATCTAGCTTTGTTATGGCCGAGCCGGTTGCCGTAGATAAGTTGTTTGTGCACCTGCTTACTCCCAAGAGTGGTAAGTATTTCCATTCTTTACTCTTTTTGTAGTTGTATGTTGTTTCATTTTATTGATTTTAAAAATGTTTATGCTATATTTAATTAACGTAATCAAAGAGTACATAATAGCAAGAGGTCTGACTGCTGGGGTTTCCTTGAAACGTAATCCTATCTTGAAAAGTACTACCATGAACTAAAGGGTGACCTTGAAAAGAGATGATGTACACACGAAAGTCTTTTTTATCATTTTAAATTCTATTTGAATTATAATAGGGTGTCCCCTATATCGTTGTAGTACTGTGTTTGTATTTATATTATATTTTATGTATATTTTATTCAGGTATGTTTTTTGTTTCATTGCGCGCATGCAATATCAGGAAAGTTAGACTTTGCCATTCTGTACTCTTAGATGTAATACATCATCAAAACTGATAATTAAGAGCCCACAATGATCTAGAATGAATATTATGGAAGAAATATCTGACATTCTATATACCCTTATTGAAGCCTAGACTTCAAGATTTTACCAGCGCAATATAATTACTCAAATATCGTAACAGCAAAACCTTTATTTTATTTTCAGATTGCCAACCATCTGTGTTCAACCCAGACGTGTGTCCCATTATTCATGAAGAGCTGTTCAAGGAGCATCTGCTCCCTCTATTGAGCGACGCATTCCAACTGCGTGACTCCCATGTACGCTGTGTTCTACTACGCCACTTTTCATCATATGTTCACCTCTTTGATAACCACCTGCTTAGGTCCAAAATACTTATTCAGGTATGTAGAAGCATGGAAGAAATAAATTTATATGACAATAAGGCAATCACATATCTCTTTCTCCATGCTTTTTAAGGTGTTCAACTATTTAACTGAATCATTTGGGAATTTGTGTAATGGAATCAGATTGTATATTTCTGTATTTGTGATACAAATTTCAGAGCTTTTTTTTTTAAATTATATCTTGTTACTTTATAATAATTGATAATTCTGCTGGGTTTACTCCTATTAGCTACTGGTTGGTCTTAAAGATACAAATGATGAGATTGTGTCAGCCACATTCCATGCTTTGGCAAATGTTGTACCAATTTTAGGAGCTGAAATTGTCGTTGGAGGAGAAAGGTATAAATATTTTGTGGAGAGGCGACCAAAGGTAATTAACACTTTTTTGGATAATTTCTGTATTGCATTTTTGTGTTGTCACCATAATAATAATGATAATTATGGAATTTATAAAGCACATTTTTAATTAGGGATGCAAAGCGATGAAAAGATGAGAAATTAATGATAATTTTTTTAAATAGAGAAAGTGATAATTAAAATGTAATTTGATAAAGGGAAAAGCTTTTTAATTCATGTTATATCATACATTCATATGAATACAATTATTTGAAAATCAGAAATATATAAAATATTAAGGATTCCAAACAAAGAATTAATGCTTGATAATACCCACTACTGATAATATAATGTCTAGTAGTGATGGACTGAAGAAAATTACTTGCTCCATGGTTTAGCACACACATGTGTCACAACTTGTTTCACAGAATGTGCTATGGTACTTCCATATCCTGAGAGCATATCCATAGTTAACTTTAGCACTATTAAATTTTTTATGACAAATCTGTTTGATGTTCACATTTATGGGCATGATGGTGTCATTTTACACCTAAATATGGGCATATCACATTTGTTTGTCACATAACATGTGTTATATTGCTTTTTTTCTAGTTCCATACCAAAAAGGAAAATGGAATGTTGCAACAAAATCAAGTTGGGAACCTGACTGCAGTAAGTGGCGTCATAGGGCTACCACTCATAGAGAAGATTGTGACCACAAACAGCCGGACTAACGATGCAAGTCCAAAAAACGAAGGTATTGACGAGGAGAAAAGGAAGCTAGCAAGGGATGAAGAAAGACAACGAAAAAGGGATGAAATAAGAAGAAATAATGAAAAACGAAAGAAGGAAAGAGAACAGAAGAGGTTATTGAACAAACAAAGTAAGTTTCAGATTCTGTTTTAGCAGGTTCTCATCATGCCTAAATATATATCATGTTATTACTTACACTTGTGATAACATATGTACTGTATCTCCTCACAGTACTTAAAATGTATACTGATATGGTCCTGTTTACTGATAAAATAATTATGTTAAAAATATTACACATTAATATTGATAAAAGTATTTAATCAAACTTACAATTTTGGAATGGTTTATTAACAAATTTTCACTGTTTATTTTGCAGATGCTTTAGGGAAATCTGTAAGTGATAAAGACCTCCCTCTTGCAGTGGATGAACCACCAGAAATCGTCACAGAGACGGTTTCCTCGCCACATCATTCAGATTCTTCCGGTTACAACGTAAAGCTTTCAGAAACTGAGGACAATGACTGGTCTGATTGGGAAGACATGGATAACGATTCCAAGGCTCAAAATTTTGACAGCCACAAGGATAGAGTAAACAGCACAGCTTACATGAAACAAGCCAAAGACAATAGTTGTGAAAAACCAATTTCTGACAACACATCTTCACCAACATCAATACTAAATTCATCAACACAGAATTTTAATAACAGGACTGAAAGAAAGGGAGCCCTGAAGTTACAAACAGGTAAAAATGTTTCAAAACCCAAAACTGAAAAGAAATCTTTGAGAATGCAGGAACTGGGACAAGAGTTTGCTGTGCCGGATTTCACTCCAAAACCAGAGCAACAGGAGTTTGATTTCTTTGCTGATATGCAACCAACATTTGGAAAAACACTAAAAACTGATTTATCACAAGATAAAAGTGACGATAAAAAGACCTCAACTGAGCAAAAGAATTCAAAGTTTAAATTTCAAATGGAACATACAGCAACCCTGGTAAGAATTTTAAAATACTAATTTATTAATTAGTTAATTTAATTAAATCAATTAGGATCTGATGTCATTCATTTTGGGTTCATATAATGATAATCATCCTTGTATGACTGTTTAAAAAGTGAACATCTTATCTGTCCATTTTGTATTAGCAGCCCATAGCCACTTTTATTAATTAAATACTAATTATCTATAAATTTTTAGCAGTACTATACGTCAAATTGATAGAAGGCACCTCAATCAATAAATTCACAACCTTCTATTTTACATTGAGACCATATGCTGAACAAAGGAGCAAACTTTCATAATATTAACTAAGAAAATTTACAGATAAATCATAAATATAAAGAAAATATAAGGAAATGTAATATGATATGGCAAATCACATGTATAAAAATATATTTTTGAACATGAAAGATCAAAATCATTTACTAGTAAAACTTATAAAGCATGTTTTGTGGCCAAATCAACATTAGGGAGAAAGATCTCTATCACCTCAAAGATAGATGAAAGTATGACGCGCGAAAATAGAATTGTATTTTATCTTAATTTAGCCGTTACTAATAAACCTAGGCCCCAGTTTTTCAGCGTTGTGGTGGTGAAAGTACTGTTCTGCTAAGCCCTAACCCTTGGATATTGTTAGCTGCAGTAAGGCTCCTGTCCTCTTCTGATTGTTCATCGGTTAATTTGACACTCCAGAAGGTCCATTGAGAGTATTTAAGCAGTGTACACAGTTTCTTGATATTATAACCTGTGTGTGTATATTATATATATAATTATAACCTGTGTGTGTGTGTGTGTGTGTATATATATATATATATATATATATATATATATATAGTATTGTTTGAAGGTTTGCATGGCAAAGTAATAACATAATTGTTGAAGTTCTGAAAAGAACTGTTGTAGTTGAGAAAGTCTATATATATATGGTTCTTTATGGCTCAATGCACACACAGTACAAGATCTAACCTACTATCTATGCTGCTGTTTTGTACCAGAAAAGTTGGTTTTAAATTCCTGTTCTGTTTTTTTTTTCCAGGATGATGATGCTGGATGGGGTAGCGGTGATGATCTTAATTGGGATTTTGACGATTAAAAGAACAGTCACTCAACCTCAAGAGATTCTATGTTAAAACCTAATTTAATATGTGTAAAACTTGAAAAAAAGAATATGTTAAATTGTAAATTATATTCAGAGTAATTAACAACTACATGCAATTATTTGTACATTTAAATTTTCAAGAATTTAACTATATAATCCAACTGAAATCGCAATCTCTGAGAGACAATCATGCTGTAATAGGTAATCATACTGTAGTTAATTGGCAGTTTTCTGCTAAATTTTAATACAAATACTTTTTATTAGAATTTTTAGCTCTTAAAAGATACAGTGTCCCTAAAATACATTGCTTAATGTAACCTTCCATTTCAATTATAATATATTCATTTTTTTTAAATATTCTGTTATTTATTTTTTTTAATGCTATTAAAAATATGCTGGCATTATATGATTTAGAATTATAAGCAAGTTTGCACCAATAATAATATAAGGGCTTTATTTTATGCACAATTTCAAATATTTTTTAGCTTTTTTAAAAATATAATGTCTATTTATGCAGTTCGAAAACTTTATTGGTGTTTGTTATTAAGTCTTTTTCTTTCACTTCTGGAGTTAAATATACAAACACATATTACCGAACTACTGCTGGTGACCAAGGCAGTGTCTGCCAGGCATATTGAAGCAGAGTACACTGAAACTATTAGGTACAGGTACTACCCACAGGCTACAAGGTTCTACCGACATCTATAATGAAAATCATTTCAAACTGCTTTCTATGTCATTGTTTAGTCGGTTTTTCATATAGGGCACTTGAGTTCTAAATCAAATGCATTTTATCCTCAAAATCAAAGCTTTAACTTACTTAACCATTAAAGCGATCATTTCCAGATATGCAATCATAGAATTCTGATAACAATACTAAAGCATATTGAATTTTTGAGTTTAAATATCAACCTTTGGGTATACAAGAGTTCATTGGCTTCCATAGAAAACAAAATTTTACTACCATACCGCCATAGTTTGACACTACTCCAGCCAAATTATAACATAGTGGCAAGCATGCAGTCATCTTGGAGTAAACAAGTTCTTGTAATCTCGAAAGCTCAGATGAGGGCAGCATAATAGAGGAAGTACAGTACATTGGTTGCCATACAAATAAGATCTATTAATCAATCAGCCAAGTGTTTCTAGAGCTCCTGAGGGAGTAGAGTATATTAGCCATTACGGTTGCCCATACAAAAAGATCTGTTAATGAATCATATTAACCAATCAGCCGAGTGTTTCTAAAAATGTACAAATGGTCAAATAGCGTATCGCTTGGTTTGCACCATAGTACTGTGTACATATAATAACTCTGCTTTTTATAAGTTGAAAGGGGTGTTTCTACATTACTGTCATTACTTGATGGATACTTTGTGTACTTTTTAACAGTTTAGGGCACTTGTATTTTCAAAGTCCTTGTACTTGTAAATGAAAAAAGAAAGTTATATTGTACATTAATAGAAAAGTAAATGTTTTATATATTAATTATAATTTTTAAAAAGTACTGTAACTGCAATCATTTTTTAGCAGTTATTACAAATTTTTTTATTACTATTATTTTATTGTAGAAGTTTTATTTTATTTTAATTACTTCATTGAATTGCCATTGATAAAAATATCATTTTTTAGCCGTTATTACAAATTTAAATGAACTTTTTGTTATTATTATTATTTTATTGTAAAGTAAAGTGTTATTTAATATTGAATTATTTATTGCCATTGATGTATCAACACCATCACCCTATTGTTACATTATTTTAGTTTATTTAATGTTTACCATGAATGTATTATTACTTTCTACAGAACCTTGGATTAATTTTGTTGTAATACTGTATAACAATAAACACCATGAAGTCCTGATTTCATTGTTTTTTGTTTTGTTTTTCTAATCAGCAGAAACCAACAAACCTCCTTTTTAATATACAAGACTGATTTATTGGTCAAACAACCTGTGTGAAATTGCATCTTTAATATGTTAGCATTTATATAGCACTCTTTACCAGAGTCTCGCAGCACATTTTTTTTTGGTCATTGGATACCGAATCAATCATACACAACGTGCAACCTACGCCCATCCCTGGGGGAGTATTCCTAGTTATGCGTTATCTTCTCAAATATTGTGTTCTTAATACTGAATGATTGATTTATTAATTCAAGTGGAGCATTTTATGATTTTCATAAACAGTGGATACAAAAAATGTCCACCATTGTTTAATCTATTGTAATAAAATGAATTTGGCAGTTCATGTTACAGTAAAAAAGTTGAAAAAGTACATACAGTATAAAGTACAAATTAATTTTTCTTTAAAAGTTGCTTGAATGCCAGGATAATCCATTAAGCCTAATGTTCATATACCAAGTCCAGAAGCCACAGAATTATTGTACTAAAGATAATATTTACAGATAAAATACAAAATCAGCCAGCGTAAATATATTTGTAAAGGTGTTTGTATAGACGTACATTAAGTATTTACTCAATTAAACACCCCTCCAGAGCCTCATTTGGAATAAACGCCTCCCTCGAATAAACACCCTGAAGTGTGTTTTTTCTTGGATTAAATTTCCCTATAAATGACTAAACAAAACTAATGGAAGCAACATCATTCTCAAAACATACTCCAGTAGAGTACATTTTTTCTAACCTAGGCGGGAAGATAAGTCTTTATGATCACGCAGTAACACATTTTGGTGGTAATTATGTGTTTCAGTTCCACATTTATAGTGAAATTAAGGGTGTTTTTTGTTCATTTGATACGTATGAATTTTACACTCAAAAAAAGACATAAAATATACGCCTCCCTCGAATAAATACTCCCTCAATAACCGTTCCCAATAATAAACTTTTCTTTTTAAATTACTTTAAGACCTCCAATAACTTATTTTTTTTTAAATATATGTTTAATAAAAATATGAATCTAAGAGGCAGAGAGCAAGAATTCATTCAGGCTGTGTTCAGAAATTCTGGCTGGCAGTGCAATCTTGGATGATAAACAACCAGTAGCATCTGAGGTGTTATTTGCACATCTGTTTATATTTTACAACTGATTCTACACAAAATTAAGGGATAAATTGGTACAGTAACTCATCAAGCCTATCTCTATTTTCCGCATCATTCTTTTCTTATCCCTCTTCATTTCTTATCTTCCCCATCTCATCCCTGTTTCTGGCATACCCGTACACCGGAAGCAGTGGTGTTGGTAACTTCTTGCATGATTGCGTCATGGGGATTTCCCTGACTGGATGTCACATGATAAATTAGACAGCACACAGATCTTGCATATCATGCAGCCTGGCAGCCGACAACAAGGATGGAGTGTTGTCGTATATATTTAATATTGATATATTCTGCTATTTTACCTGCTTCCGGAGTCCTATTTGGTAGAAAGCTTGGGGAAAATATACCAAAGACTAGTAAATACAATTATGATACATATTATTTTGAACAAAAGGTAAGTATTTGATGGAAATGAATGGCGTATAGATTTACGCCAAGAAAGGCCATTCCACAGTAAAATAGCAACCACTGCAGGTGGCTTTTGGGCTGCTGCACGGCACGGGCTGTGGAAAGTGTGGTGCCTGGCCTGCGTACTGTGTATAATAATGCCTGTTTTATAATCAATAATGGTAAATAATATAATGGTGAATAGTTTTATGAAAGCCTGTAAGATACACCTAAGCTATGTTTAGATGTTAGAAATGTTTAAAAGGGTTTCCCAAAGGGATACATTGGTCTACCATCATTTTCACAGAGTAAGAACCAAAGCCCTTACCTTGTTTGAGTATACTGTTGTTTACTGAAACTCAACTTCGATGAGTGCAGACATACCCATTGTTATAATTTTTCCCCCAAAAATGAATTTGAGTTTGTTAATATGTCAATTAAATAAGTTAATTTTCAATTGTACTATAATACCCCAATATTTTGCATTAAATATGTCTGAAAATACAATCAATATAGTGGTTAAATTGTCCGCACCTATTTTTTATGCAATTTTCAATAAGTTGGGTATTCCCATGACAGGAAGTATAGTACTTTAAATGCTGCAGAATACAAAATAAGTGCAAGTATATAATGCCATTGAATTGTGTACACAGTAGTGATAGCGACGTCATCTCAAAACCTTCCTCCTCCCCTTCGCTGTTCCATCTGTTCATCAACTAATTGTTTTTAGTTTCTTGAGAAGTTTTTGACTCTGGAAGGCATTATAAAAATACATGACCATTGACCAATTTGATTTTTTTTTCTTTCCTCAAGGTTGACCACTTCAACTTTGCAAATGATGATGTTTTCAAGCAGCGCTATTTGGTGTCAACAGAGCATTGGGGAGGTTATGGAATGCCAATATTATTCTACTGTGGGAACGAGGGAGATATCACCTGGTTCAGTGAAAACACGGTTCGTAGAATATTTATACATCTAATATTGTTATTATTAGCACCACCATCATCAACCATTCATCCACATCATCAAATCATCAACTTATCATTTTCAGCATTATCATCATCATTAATTCTCAATGAAAAAATAAAATCAAACTGTTTGTCAAATCTGTTTATTGTTTTATACACCATAGTTTCCTTTCTTCTCACCAAATGTGAATGTGTTCAAGAGCAATCTAAACATGTGTGACAGCACTGGACTGAACACTTTGTTGATATTAGACGCTATATAAATATTTTTGATTGATTCTTCATTCTGTGAATATAATGAAAAGCTTTTTGATTTTCATCAATCAATCATTCAATTAGTGACTGTATTATTCAATCAATCCTTTAGGGCTTCATGTGGGACATCGCACCAGAGTTCAATGCCATGATTGTGTTTGCAGAGCATAGATACTATGGAAAATCCATGCCATATGGTGACCAGTCTTACAAGGTAACTTATAAACAGATTTATGCACAAACTACTCATTGAGGCACGGTAACTCATGCTCTAGCCCAGAAGTCCTTCCTTATCCTTAATCCTCTTCATGCTCATAAGCACATAATGCAGTACTAGCCCAGAAGTGTTATTACGTAATTATGCAGCATGATCTTCATGCCTACCCATATAAATGCCAGAGAATAGATATAGCTATTCTTGTACTGTTCATGTAATGCCAGGCACTTACTACACCTCATGTGATCCTATGAAGAACGCAATGCGAAAACACGCAGTGGATCGTTTTTATAACAATCCGTTCAGAATGGCATCGACACTCAGCAGACGGCATCACACCGTTTAGCGGTCACAGGGAGCAATGTTGGATTTGGTTGTACAATGGTTGTACGACACAGTGAGTGCCCAGCTTAATGCACCAGCAGGGTCTGGACCCAGGTGTCCCATGCGAGACTCTGGAAATTAACAGGTCTCACAACCTCTTGCAAGCATGCAAAAACCTTTCACAAACTCAACCAATCTCTGAATTTTTTACTATAGCACTTTGTTAATTGTCTTCCTCAGCTTTACATATCTGTATATAGCATTATACATTAAGATGTGTTGAGAAAGCTCATTTTAAACCAAAACTCCTGATGAGGCTTATCCCCAAATAATTACTTTTGGAGTCTTTCTGGCGTGTTCAAATAACACTCTTTCTTATTCTGTTTTTTTCAGAATCAAACACTGCTAGGCTACCTGACAGCAGAGCAAGCTCTGGCCGACTTCTCCATCTTGATTCGCCACATGAAGGCCACAATGAAAGATGCTGGTGGCAGCCCAGTTGTAGCCTTTGGGGGCTCTTATGGTGGCATGCTGGCTGCGTGGCTCAGGATGAAGTATCCTAATATTGTTGTAGGGTAAGTGGTGCATCAGTTAAGTGGGTAAAAAGAAAATGCATCTGAACATTTTTATTTAATTTCATATTTTTTTTATCCACTAGGCTAAAATCTATGGTTCGGATGAAAATAATACATTAAAACTTTGACACTGAGTTTGAGTCATGTCTGGCTTAATTTTCTGAATGTAACTCATCCAGAAATCTGATATTTAGGACCTGATGCTCTGTCTCATTTATAAGGCTCTGGGATTGAAGATGTTTTAATACAGTTTTGAGAAAAGTCCTGACATTTTTTAACTTTTAACCTGAATTATGCTACCTGAGACCTTGAGTTTTAGAAAGTGAAGCATCTTAAAGCATCAAGCTTCAGCTTCATTCCACTCAAATACTGTAAATGAGCAAATATTCATTGCAAGGCTTAATAACACTTTTGGGAGCTTCATTGCATTGCTTATTCAAGACTTGTATTTATTATATTGAATTGTTTATATTATGGTACTATGTGTTGAACTATTATCCTTGAAAAATTGATTGTATGATTGTTTGAATGTAACAAAACATCAAGGCAAATTTGGAAGTAATATACTAACGCTCAGCACTGCTTATTAAAATATGAATATGCCTGTTATGAGTGCCAGTCTATATTTGAAAAACATTTTTTTGGTGTGGCAATTACAGTACATTCAATCATTTACAATTAGTCATATGATTTTTGATTATTTTTCATTTGTCTATGTCAGTGCAATGGCAGCATCAGCTCCTATCTGGCAGTTCACCAATGTAACAGTATGCTCATTGCCATATCAAATAGTCACAAAGGATTTTGATAGTGCCAGTAAAAACTGCTCCAAGGTAGTGAAGAGATCATGGGATGTCATCAACACGTTAGCAAAGTCAGGTCAGAGTCCACTGCCCTCTTGTGCTCATATATTTATGCATGGTAGTTTCATGGCATTATTCAGCTCTCTAACATTTAAAGTTAAAGTACTAAGGCTGCACTGCATCAAATCATGGCAAAAATAGCTCAGGATGACTATATTTTGAAAGCCTGGGAGGATAAAAAGGGTATAACATCAACTATGAGAATGCCAACCAAAATAAATTTCTTAAAAACCCATTTGTAAATGCAACATATTTTCAGGTTAAATTTTTTACAGACAAAGTGCACCGCCAATAAACACAAATTTCCAAGTTTATTTTTCTGAATACCAAAATTTAAATCTAAGAAAACAGTTATTGGTAGAAGACGAATTAATTTCATCAATTATATTTATAGGCAAATTGCGATAATATTTTTGTTTTACATCTTTTTTTTGATAAACAGATGAAGGGCGTTCAAAACTCACCAAGTTGTTGAGACTTTGCAGTAAAGTTGAAGACCAAGAGGATGTTAGTGGTGTCAAAAGCTGGATCAGTGCCACATGGTTTAACTTAGCAATGGTGGACTATCCTTACCCAGCAAACTTTCTAGAACCACTTCCTGCCTGGCCAGTCAAGGTCAGGCCATTTTACATAATATTCTCATACATATACCATACTCACACGAATGAGCGCCCCTCCTAACTTGAAAATTTACTTAAGCGCCCCGTTTGAATAAGCGCCCCTTCTAATTTGAATAAACGCCCCCTCAATAATTCAATCAATCCTGGACTGTGAATGTTGGTATGATTTGAGGTGTGGAGTGGAATCACATTCTCCTTTAGTCAATACCAAAATGAGGATATTTATCTTGGACAGATGAGAGCTCCCCGGACAGATGAGAGCTCCCCGGACAGACAGTATATTTCCAACTCTCATCTTCTTACATTTTTCTATAGCCTAGTCCTACTGCTTTTCCGACAATTTGCACCTAACACATTCTCATCTGAGTTTTCAAGAAAACCTTCAATGATCATGCCATCCTGTTAATCTCAATTGGCTGATGGCTAACAAGCTAACCACCACCACTAATTTCATCTGCTATTCTGCTGTTATGTAATACTGTACTTACAACATTCTTGTCATGACAAGCCATGCTCTCTGGACGATTATCTTTTCCGCCGCACCACCATTCTAATTTGCGGTTTCCTGATGTCATTTTATAATCGTTTTTCATTCAAAATGTGCCTCCTGAATTTAATAAGTTCTCATAAGAACCCCTCAATTTTTATCTATTTCCATAAGCGCCCCACTGAATTTCCACTCTGTTTTGATAAGCCCCCCCTGTTCGAATAAGCGCCCCGTTTGAATAAGCGCCCTCAAAAAGTGCAAACAAAATTTTAAGCGCCCGGGCGCTTATTCGCGCGAGTACGGTACTGGATATTATTATTATTATTATTATTGTATAGGAATTTTATGATGATGATGATAAGGTGTAACAAAATTGAATTGATTGGGCTTTGATGGTGATGAGGAGGAACAAGAAGAAGACAACTCTACATTGGTAACTCTTATGTATTGTGATAATGAGAGTTAGGATTATATAGAACAGTGGCCGTGTAAAACATAATGCCAGGATGATGTTAAGGACTCAAATTGTAATGATTATTATTCTTATGATTGATGATACAGCATTGGCAAGTCTAAGACTCCCTGCACAGAATTGCCCTCAATTATAATATGTAGTTAAACAAAATATTTTGCTTTTCACAGGAGGTGTGTAAGAATATGAATGACACTGAAGCTTCAAGCGATGCCATCTTGATGCAGGTTGCTAATGCCCTCAACGTGTACTACAACTTCACAGGCAACCAAAAGTGCTTCAACACATCTAATCAAGCAGTGTCCAGCCTAGGTGACTTGGGATGGTCTTACCAGGTAAAGACCTGTCATTTTTTCATGATGATATTTTTATTATTATTATTATTATTATTATTGTTTGTGAAGTTTTTCCAGTCTTCTGCAATCTTGTTTACAAACATCACTGTTGCTGTGCAAATCATGAATGATAGAACAAATGATCGGCAAGAAACCAAAATCAACACAAATTTAAAATTTTATCACACAGATATCATCTGTGATCAAAATAAAACAGAAGACTTTTCTTTCATTAAATCTTGGTTTTTGCTCTTAAATTTGTGTTGATTTTTGTTTCTTGCCTATCATTTTGTTCTATCATTCATGATTTGCACAGCAACAGTGATGTTTGTAAACAAGATTGCAGAAGACTGTAA